ATAGACAGAGAAAAGATTGGTACCAACACTTGGAAAATACTTTTTCAAGGATTGCGATTTCATTGAAGTATTTATTATGTGTAATGCTTGTCTATTACAAAGAAACAACAATTCTTAGTTTTTATCAAACTAGAGTCAATGTAAATGTTTTTATTCGATTGATTTCGATATTTATTGACTGTTATCCAAAAGAATGGTGAAGTCGTCATTGGTACTTTTTTTATAACACTTTCTCATTTAATATGTTGTATTAACTGGCAACTACTCAAAATTCATGTGTTCACAGTGAATGTATATAATAATCGTAATAGTAAAAAAATCTGTTAAGATTTCAATATATTATTTATATCACATAATATTAAATCGAGTCTTGGTTTTTTTTAAATTAATTGAATCAAACATTCCATAAGGCAACAAAAGTACGATCAGCATTAACGACTGTCGTATACAATCGTCAATATTCGATCTGAAGTAATAATTTCATAGAAAATCTTTTATTGTTAAACTTTGAAAATTAACAATAAATCCATTATTCAAAAGAACTTTTGACTCTTTCATTTGTTTTCCAACTTTTCAGTCCAACAATCTTTTCTCCAAGTTCAGTTAACTGTGGTTCTGGAAATCCCGCAAGTTGTTCATCAGCTTTTGAACTCAATGTACGCATATGAAAAGCATCAATTCGATTTGTTAATTCACGTTTATCATCTTCTTTGGCTGGATCAAATGATATATATTGTACAATTCGAAATTGATCATTCTCATTCGGAAAATTCCCTAGATAGAGGTTTTTTTGACAAAAAATGTCAATGATTTTCCCAAATGAAACACCTACCATGAGGTAATCGTGAATCCCATACAATGAAAGAACCTTTTTGAACATGAATTTGTTTGATTTCATTTCGTATTGGATCATTTTCAGGAACATTAACAAGTCCTCCACGACATTTATGTTCCTTTTCATTATCAATCGACCATTGTTTAAAACGGTGAGTAAATCCAGGAACACAATGAAATCCTAATTTTATATAATAAAACAAGAAAAAAACCTGTGAAATAGTTGTTGATCTTTTTAAAGAAAAAACATACCCCCACTATTCGGATTTGTGTCACTCAATGCGAGAAGACCTTGCACACCTTTAAAATCTGGATATTTCCAAGGATTCTTTGAATATAAATCAAGTAATTATTCTTGTCAAAAAAATCTACCTTGCTTCAATAGAATTTATTCATTCTTACCTGGTCCCAGTGTAACCTGAAAATAGAAATTAAAAACCTTCTAGTTAAGTTTGCGAGACATAGTTTGAAGCTTAAAACCAAATTAAAAACAATTATCAAAATTTTCTACTGTTTTTATCGTATGAAGACATAAAGATAAAGAGAATTTCATCAAACTTTTCCTTAATTTAATAAAAGTCTCTAATAGCGTTTGTTGAGCCGTCGGGCATCATCTTCATACAACAATCTTTATTATAAACAATGATTTGAAGTTTTTTTTCTATTTTTATTCGAATCTTACCAATTTGGTTTTGATCTCCATTCAGGCCTATCTTCAAATATAATTGATTCCTGATTATCATTCTGTTTAAAAGCAATACTTTTGGTAGGTCTCATCATTCCATATCGATCATATCTAACCCAAAGATCGTCTTGTTTAAGAAGAATTTGAAATAATTGAACAATATTGGGATGTTGTCGATTTTCCCAACACATTTTTGTTGCAACATCCGATGCGTGTGATATGAAACCACCTTTTATTTTCATGTTAACAAAAATAAGATTTTAATTTGTATACACTTACCATCTTTGAGACCCATTTGAATTGGCCAATATTTATTATCCCACGTTGAACTATCATTTTTATCAATTTTTGAATTAAGAACTCTTAATAAATTCCAAATTTCATCAATAGTTTCTTCTATTTGTGATTTAGATTCGATAATATTTCGTACGACGACAAATCCATATTCTTCGAAGAATTTCAATAGATCAGATGTTTCTTCAAGAGAAAATGATTTTGTATAGCCATTAGAATCTGGAAATGCTGTGATAGAAGCCATTTATTTTATCTTTTAAAATTGATAGTTCGGAAAAAACTGGCAATCTCTCAAGATTTCTCTCATATATATATAGGCGAAATTTTTCTAGTAAAACGCCACGTATGCAATCATTGTCAGTCAATGAGTCAGTAAAAGAAAAACAAAACAAGACACGAGACCGACAAGTGTTGCTGTTCTGTGCTATCTCTTCTTACCTTTACGAGAATACAAGTTGAGAGAGAGAGAGATAATATATTTAGTATAGTCTGTTTTACACATTCTTATCGTTTATGAGAAAATGAAATGCTATTGATATATTCAATACTTGAAATATATTTATTCTCTAGCAGTTGATTTGATTTATTTCTTGTAAAAATATCCACTAAATCAATGACATCAATAAAACAAGCTAATGAATAACTTGATCGTCTCTGGCGTGCAATAGTTTCAACAGAGAACGATGTGAATTGTTACTGACGATTATGTTGTGCACATTGATGTCTTTTTTAATCTAAATAGATGATTAAAATGTTTTGACAAATATTGGTTAGAAATTTATGATTTCCATTATATTACATATCAAGATCAATCTTTTCATAACGTCAATAAAGTTTCATTTCATTCTCTTTTTGTATTTTCGATTATTCATAGTGTATTAATCAATGCATTCGAATCATTCACGTTTTTCTCAATAGAGATCTGTCAGAACCAATCATTTTAACGAACAGAAGAAGTGCATTGTTGAAGAGAGAATGCATATTTACATATGGCCGATCGTTCTTTTCATATTATTCATATGTTTGAGAATTTCGTTACAAATCCATGTCAAGTAAAGTTGTGCTATATGACATTGATCCTGTTATAGTTATTTTAGATAATAGAAATAGTTTATTCTAATTTTCTACGATTTCTAATGTCAATAATAGAACCACTTGCTTTTGGTTATGCCAAAGATCCATGGTCTGTTTATTTTGCTGGACGAAAAATTGAAGGTGCATCATCAATGACATTTCAAGTATTAGATGATGGTTATTCAAAAGATTCATGGAATGTTTATTATATGGGTCAAAAATTGGACGGTGCTTCAGTACTTTCATTTGAAACATTAGGTCAGGGAATTGCAAAAGATGCTTTCCATCATTATTATTGTGGACAAAAATATAATAGTTTAACACCACCAATGCATACATTCAAATAATTTAATTGAAAAAAAAATAGCTAGTTACTGCCTGTTTAAAAAAAACTGGCCTTGAGTATTTTTGCACTGACTCGATAACGTTAACAGCTAACGAACTGCAGCTTTCACCAACTGAAAGAGTAGAAGTTGAGACATCTTTTTCTCCGATAATGTATAAGTCGAAATCCTTTTAAGAGTAATCATCTTCGAAAAACATGCAAAAGAAAACATGAGAATGACTTTCCATCTAGATGAAATTTTGATTTTGCCCTTTAATTTAGATAGAGGGTCCTGAGATCTATAGTTCAAGATAGAATGCGCTTTTTTACTTTTCACTACATTTTTATCGTAATTCCACGCTATTATAAGAAAAGTGCGAAAACTTAGTAAAAAAATCAACAAAATTCCCTATTATTTGCGCATGTAAATACATGATTCCATTTGCTCAATGTTAGAATGTAATAGGAGAACTATTTACATTATATCTTGAACTATAGATCTCAGGACCCTCTATCCAAATCAAAGAGCAAAATCAAAGTTTCATCTAAATGGAAAGTCATTTTCATGCATTCTTTTGCATGTTTTTCGAAGATGATTACTTTTAAAAAGATTTCGTCGTATACATTATGGGAGAAAAAGATGTCTCAACTTCTACTCTTTCAGTTGGTGAAAGCTGCAGGTCGCTAGCTGTTAACGTTATCGAGTTATTGCAAAAATACTCACGACCAGTTTTTTTTTAACAGACAGTAGTTACATAATCTTTCCATGTAGTATCTCAAGTATATATTTTCTAATTATTCTTTCAAATGAAATTTATCAACCATCAAAATTGTTGAATACATTTTGTTTCACTGCGTTGTTCAATTAGCAATAGCTCAACTTGACGGATCAATTAAAAAAGAATATACATTGTTTAATCTTTCATCAATGAATATGTCCTGTTTTCTGTTATTTTGAAGATTATTCATCGATAGATTTCAAACAAAATAATTGAAAATGATTCGTTGTTGCCTAATGAAATAAACAACATTTCTTGAAATTTTTTATTATCATTGTGAGACATATGCCTATGAGACATTGCACGTAAGCCACTCCTATTTCCTGACAACGTTGCACAATCGATCTCACCGATTTTGCTGATATTTTCACAGTAGGTAGGCCTAACATATTTAGGAAGAAACCCAATATTTCAGCTCAAATGGATGAGCCAGTCTGGAGATATAGTGGACACAACTATTGGAGGGTAGGTCACTTTTGATGCAATTTGTAGTGCAATACTTTTCAGTAAATTTTTATTTTCACAACAACGACAAGAGTTATAACAGAGATTTTTTTACCATAGATACTATCGATGATGGGCTATCTTTTAATGGGATTGAAAGTATGTTTTCATTTGATTTTTTTCGATCAGCATTCTATATCATTTCTGGAAAGAGTATCCCTAGAGATAAGGCAAGTTGGTCACATCAGCGTGGTAGAATAGTTTGAAAATAGTCTCATTTGGAAGAGCACATCAAACTGTGTCGAATGACGTTTTCAAAAGTTTGTGACATTGAATTTTGATAGGAAAAATTTTCTGAACAAGACTATGAAGACCAAATTTGGGCACCGACTCTCTCTATGAAGATCGACGATTTATTTTCAAATATTCGATTTAAGTGTTTCAAATAAAAGCCCATGTCATGCAACCTCGAAATCCAAAATTTCAGTCCATTTGAGCATGGAGTTTTTCTTAAAAATATTCTTTTTTTTTATCATAATTTTATGTAATCAGAATGGATTCAATTTTAAACTAGCAGATCCTACGACACTACCGACTGTAAAAGAACACATCATCACAAGTAGCACAGTTGAATGAAGCAGATCTATGAAAAGTTTCATCTGTTATTATCGACCTGAGATTTATTGTGAGGAACAGAAATCGATTACACACTTAATCTATTGTGTCTGATAGAAAAACAAACAAGTTTAATACTTTTTCAAGCACATCGAATTTCAACTGACGTAGAAAACCAGTATAAATTGGTTAATATTCAATAGAGATGAAATAATGATAATGTTTCAATATATTCTTCATGGCAAAATAATTGTAAATTTTTTCTTAAGAATACAAGAGACGTTGAATTCGAAGATAAAAGTCAAGAAAATTATAACAAACAGAGAAAATAAAAGAAAAATCTATAAAAATTCTAAGCTATTTGAGAAGCAATTGAATGAATTGAGAAAAAAAAGTTGCTATAATATGTTTTTTTGAATTAATTTATACTCTTAAAAGTATGACAAAATAATTTATCGAATAAAAAAAGAGTGTTTTCATGTACCTGAAATGAATTCTTTTTTGTTACTTGAAGAAAACTGATCTTTCATCAATTCTCTTTTATTTTCATATTGAAAAACTTTATTTTGTTTCAATTCAACTAGAAGAATCCATGATTGAAATTTCATCGAAGCATTTTGTTCAGAAATATTCTATTTATTTCCAAATAAAAGATGAAACTCAAGTCTTGAATCGATTTAAATAAGAGTTTTTTTTATTGTAAAATAACTAATTATGAATTGGTCTCAATAAAGAAAAAATAAAGTGAAAAACATACTCTAAGAATGATTATAGATTAACCAAGTTAATTCATCAAATAAAAAAGTTATAAACTAAGAAAAATACTTTACATAGAAGACGTAAAATTTAATGTTACTCTAAACAAATCATAGGAAAAATTTAATCTCTGAAATTCCATAGAGAAAATGAAGTAAACTAAATCATATAGAAATAAAATTGA